TGGCTTCCCCGGCCCCCAGGGGACTCTGTCCTCCCTCCCTTCTTCTCTTCCTCCTGTTCTCAGAGCAGACCTTGACCGTGGGAAGCCTCCACGAGCTGGGGTCTCACCCAGCCCCGAGTGGGAAGTGCAGTCACCTCCTGGGAAGGAGATGGAGGCCCAGAGAGGTCAAGAGACTTGCCTGAGGATGCACAGTTAGCAAGTGTCCAAGGGGGAATTTGCACTCAGGACTTACAGGCTGCGTTTTGGTTATTGGTTTGCCTGCCCTCCTCTCCGCCCACCCTGGGCCTCTTGAGGGCAGGTGCGGGCTACTGGAGTCAGCCCAGGGCCCAGCATCACCAGGCCCTGGGCCTGGGCAGCTTGGAGAGGCTTGTGGGATGATTTTACCTTTGTACATGTGTAGGCGGCTGTGTCCCCAACGCTGTGCCCACCACAGCTGTGTCCTCATTGGCTCACACCAGGCTGAGAGCATGACCCCGAGGGAAGGGCTATGCCCGGGCCCTGGGGTTAGCTGTGGCCCAGCGAGAAGGCTCCCAGTGGGACCGTGTGCCTGCCTCCACCCTCTGTCCCCTTCCTCCCCTCACCCAAGCTGGCACGGTGCCCAGCCTGGCTCACATGGGCTGCTCTGCCCAGGGTGGGGCTGGGAGGAATGCAGGGGCCCAGACCCCTGTCCCCAGCAGACACCAATCTCTGGGGTCACTGAGCAGATGGAGAAACTGAGTCTGTGCTGAGTCAGGCTGCCCACAGCCACCCACACGTGTGCCTGTGTACACGCGTGTGTGGATACAAATGAGTGCACACAGGAGTACCTCCCCTGTTCAAATCCCACCCTGCTACTTCTCAGCCTTGCTGAGATACTGCAACTCTCTGGGCCTCAGTGTTCAGATCTGGGAAATGGGGTTATAGACTGAAGCCCGGGGAGGCTTGAGGCTGGTTTAGCCTCCTTGGCCCCTCCCCTGCATGGTGCCCAGGGACCAGCCCTGGGGGTCCAGGAGAGGGTCCAGTGTGCCTGGCTTCCCTGAGCCCCCGTGGACATCAGGGTCCCACTTGGGGCGAGTGGCCTGTGTCACCCACCACTGTACTGGGCTGGTCCCGACTCCTCACTCCCCAAGCTGGCTCCGGCACTGACGGGCACGAGGCCAGGGTTCCCAGTGCTGGCCCCAGGGGCCCCACCAGGTGGTGGGACAGGAAAGGTATTTAGAAGGTTCTGCCGTGGACAAGGGGTGCGTGTGCGGGAGGGGCAGGGCTTGGCTCCCTCCCTGTGTCTCACACTGGGGAACTTGGTAGGGTGCAAGGAGCCCAAACACTGGGGTCCCCAGGCTGTTTCAAGGCAAGCTCTACCCTTTGGGGCTCTGAGGCCTGGGAGCCTTGGTCTTCTCACGTGCAGAATGGAGACCATAAAACCCCCTGAACCAGGGAGGAGGCAACAGCACAGTGGCTGACATGTAGTAGGTGCTCAATAAACGCCTGGCATGTAGTAGGTGCTCAATAAACGCCAGCTATCCAGATGCAGACTAGAGCCCTGCTGAGGATTTCTATGACTCCAGTTTCATTCATTCATTCTCTCATCTATTTAAGCAGTGTGTGTCGGGACCTACGTCAGGCAGGGCAGAGCGTCGAGATCACATCACAGAACAAAGCAGACATGATCCTCGCCGGCGTGGAGCGGACAGTCTGCCGGGACGGGCAGATGCTGGGCAAGCAAACGGCATCACTGAAGATCGAGGTAAAGGCTGAAAAGGAAATAAAGCAGGGAGAGTGACCGGGGACTTCTTTGAATAGGGCAGCGAGGGAGGCCCTCCTGGAAAGCAGCCGTGACCTACGAGAGGGGTGCTGAGGGGAGGAACGCAAAGGCAAGGCCCTGAGGTTGGAACAACGCAGGTGGGTTCAAAGAACAGCAGGCGGCCAGCGTGGCAGGAGCAGGGTGAGTGGAAGGGAGAGGGTTGGAGAGAGACGAAGGGAGTGGATCCTGCAGGACTTCGAAGGCAGGGTGGGAATTTGAATTTCATTCCAAGGGCAATTATTATAAACAAAGACCAAGGTTATGAGTGACTACAATACGCAAAATGCAAACTCATTGTGATTCACTTCCAGCCCAGAGCTTGGGCACCTAGCAAACTTGAAGAAAAGCACCTGCACACACCTCCACCACAGCTTGCTTTTTACAAAGAAACACAAAGGCATCTCAATTTGTTAAATGCAATTTGTTAAATGCAAATTCAGTGTGTTATAGACAAATGTGAGTTTGTTAGTTGCGAATGCAGCCATCGTCTCCGGACTCCAGTGCTTGTGGGAAGAGCAAGGTGGCCCGGGGAGGAGGCGTGATATCACCAGCCCTGATTTCAGCAGCACAGTGTCAACTGGGGAGGGCTTGGAAGATCAGCTGGTCCAACCCCCTGACTCCCAGATGAGGAACCTGAGGTCCAGACGAAGGGAAGTGAGTGGCCAAAGGTGAACTGTGAGTCAGAGACAAACTTGCACCCAGGTCCCCTGACTCCTAACCCAGACTTTCTGAGAAATGGGTGTCTTGCCATGTGCTTACCCTTTGCCCTTTCGTCCCGACAGTGTCAGCTGTCCTTGGGGCCAGGAAGGAGATATGGGGGGTGGCAGAGGTTTGGGGTCCACCGCTTACTTTACCGCAGAGTTTCTCGTCTGAGGTGCTACAGGCGTGTTGAACCAGAGAATTCTCTGTTGCAGAGGCCGACCTGGGTGGTGTCTTTGCACCATTTCTCAGACGGGAGCCCGGAGCTGGAAGCAGGGCAGAGGGATGCCGTTCGAGGCGATGGAATTGGAAGAAAGGAGGGAAGAAAGGAATTTAACCCAGACGGAGTGATGACTCCTGCGGGCTTGAGCCCACAGTGGCAGTGCCGCGCGTGGAGGCGAACAGCAGGCTTCTGTAGGGTCAACTGGCCAAACGGCTACTCCAGTGTCAGGAGAATGGGCCCTTCCGCTCGAGGCGCGATCCCAGCACAGACAGGGTTTCACAAATGGGCGCGTCCCATCGAGCCAGAGGCGAAACCACCGGGATCTGGAAACCTGAGGCTGGGATCCACGGAACGACAGGCGCAGGGACAGAGACTCCAGCGTGCAAGACGCACCGGCCAGGTGTGAAAAGTCATTCCATGAACTGCGAGCGAGTGGGCAAAAGCATATTGGAAAAAGAATCCAGTCGCTAAGAATAGACATTATCTAGCACCCTGGGAGGCTGAGGCGGGAGGATCGCTTGAGTTCAGGAGTTCCAGACCAGCCTGAGCAAGAACGAGACCCCGTCTCTGCTAAAAACAGAAAAACTAGCCAGGCATGTGGCTCGCACCTGTAGTCCCAGCTACTGGGGAGGCTGAGGCAGGAGGATGGCTTGAGCCCAGGAGTTTGAGGTTGCAGTGAGCTATGATGATGACACTGCATTCTACCCAGGGCGACAGAGTGAGACTGTCTCAAAAAAAAAAAAAAAAAGGAAGAAGAAACTGAACTGCCTTCCTCACTCCCTCCCTTAAAGAAAAGGAATAGACATTATTCTTAATGTCCTCTTAAAATAAAGCAGTTTTAGATGAGTCGTAAAAGGGAAAAGGCAGTACGTCACACCCGCTCCCCCTGTTAGTGACACCTTGCCCTGCTGGTGCACGCCCCAGGGTGGGCGCGTTATTGCCAGCTAAAGTCCAGAGCTATTCACGTCTCCCCAGCTTTCACCTAACGTCCTTCCTCTGCTCCAGGATCCCGTCCAGGATGTCACCTTACACTTACGTGCCCTGTCCCCTTAGGCTCCTCTTGTCTGCGACAGTTTCTCAGACTCCCCTTGTTTCCGATGACCGTGGCGGCTGGGGAAGCGGGTCCCGGGTTTGCAGGCTGCCCCTCTACTGCGGCGTGTCTGCTGGTTTTCACGGCGAGACTGCGGCTGTGGGTTTTCGGGAGGAAGGTCTCAGAGGTGAGATGCCCTTTTCATCGCAGCGTACCATCAACGTGACTTTCCACTGCTGCCGTTGACCTTGATTGCCCGGCCCAGGTTTTTGCTTTTTCCTCTTTCCGTAGTGTATGCTTTGGGAAGAAGCCACCGTCTGCAGCCGACACCTTCGGAGTGAGGACTTACGTGCCCTCCTTTAGAGTGGAGTTGCTCAAAATTGCTCCACCTTTGGCCTGTGGGGACTCGTTCCCTTGGCGCCTGCCCCTTTGGCAGACCCCGTGGACGCGGTTTTCTCTGAGCACGACCTCGCTTCCTGGCACTACAACTTGCTCCAGGTTCCTCTTGTATATTTCCTGCCGTAATCCTAGGGTCGGCCATTTCTCCAAGGAACCTTGGTTCCTTTCACTGGAGAATGGTGTTAGAAACCAAAATCTGGGGGCCAGGTGTGCTCAGTGCCACTGGGGTGTCATTGCTTTTAGATCTTTTCAGCTGATAGAGCAAAGAAGCATACGTGTGCATACTAACCTGAGCATGTATACACGTCTCTACATTTTCTATATGCAACATCTGTAGTTATATTTAGCCAAATGCGAGTTCCTACGGATGTCTCCAGAATCCATTATGTTTTATAATGTGATTCGAAATAGTGCTGTGTCACTAAATTGATAAGCTTAATTATCACCGCCACTTACTGACGCTTGTTTCACCCCCAGAGCTTTCTGAGAGCTCACCAGGCATCCCCTCCTTTAGGCCGCACGTACAGCAGCCCTAGACATTGGTTCCCCCCTCAACCCCACTTTACAGATGAGGAAACAGAGGCACAGAGAAGTTAATGCCTTACCCAGAGTCTCCCGCCCAGTAAGTGGTGAAGGGAAGCAGGCCCAATCGCCAAACATTAAAACGTATCTACATGTTGCATTAAATAGAATTTATGCGCAACTAAGAAAAGAAGTCACCTTATGGTCGACTGGTTGATGTAGCATTATATTCCAAAGGCATTTAGCTTAAATGTTGCGATTTCCTTTAAAGGCAGGACATTTGTGTTTTGATTCTCCAACATTCTCTGCTCGCGGCTGTGTTGTCGCTGACAACCAGTGGATAGAAGGTCTCAGGCACGCGCTGTTACCTGTCCATCCAGCCGCCTTGCAGGTACCTCCACACCTCCCCCAGCCAGCTCTGATGGGAGTCACAAGGACACAGCGTCTTCTGCACGTCCCAGGCAGCTCAGATCCCAGAGGGCCAATGGGGCCCGAGGGGAAGCGTGGTGGTGGTGGGGGGGCCGAGGCAGAATCTGGAGTGACCTGCTGCGTCTCTTCTTCCAAGGCTTCTTGGGTGGCCCTGTCCTGGCCCCCAGTGTGGCCTGGGGTGACTCAACCCAAGGCCCCCCCTGCTCCTCCTCACACAAGGGCCCCTCCTCTCAGACCCACGGCCCAGACTCTTCCACCTCCTCCAGGAAGCCTTCTCTGCCTGCCCCATCCCCAATGATGTCCTCGTTCCCAAGCCTAGGCTGAAAGTCTCGGGCAAGCATGTGGTTCTTTGGCCTGCACAGTGCTTTCTAAAATTCTGATTTGGTTGCCAGCTTTGAATAGCAAGAAATTTCACATAAAAACATGGACACCCAGCTTCTATCATGAATGTCGAAAGCCCGACAGCCCCAGGCCCACGGTCCTGCCGCCAGCTCTCACCTGTGCCTGGCACACAGCAGGTGCCCAGCCGATGCTGGCGGCATGCAGGGACCTGGCACACTCAGCGTGGAACACTGGCTTTGGAGGCACACAGGCCTGCTTTGCCCCTTCCTGGCCATAGGCCCTGGGAAGAAGTACTTCTTGCTCAGCCTTAGTTTTCTCATCTGGAAAATGGGCTTAAAAGAGAGCCTCCTTCATGGGGTGTTAGGAGCATTTATTTTATTTTATTTTATTTTTTGAGACAGAGTCTCCCTTTGTTGCCCAGGCTAGAGTGAGTGCCAGGGCATCAGCCTAGCTCACAGCAACCTCAATCTCCTGGGCTCAAATGATCCTCCTGCCTCAGCCTCCCGAGTAGCTGGGACTACAGGCATGCGCCACCATGCCCGGCTAATTTTTTGTATATATATTTTTAGTTGGTCAATTAATTTCTTTCTATTTTTGGAAAAGACGAGGTCTCGCTCAGGCTGGTTTCGAACTCCTGACCTCGAACAATCTGCCCGCCTCGGCCTCCCAAGGAGCATTTCATGAGCCGAAACTTGGGGTGGGCGTAGGCCAGGCCAGGCACTCGGGGAGCCTGGATCAATGACATTTCCTTTTCTTTCTTGTTCTCCTTGTTTATTTTCCTTGCTTCGCTCCCTCTCATTTCCTGATGGCTCTGCCCATCTCCAATGTATCTGTCCATCCGTCCGTCCGTCTGCGTGCCAGACACAAAGAGGACCCCGTCCCAGCTCTCAGAAAACTCTTCCTGGTCTGGCTGGGGAGGGACACATTTATTCACTCACTCATGCAACACATGTTTACTGAACACCTGCTGTGCGCCAGGAGTTGTTCAGAGGTTGGGGAAACGGCAGGCGACAAAACAGACAGAGTCCCTGCCGTCACGGGCAGGTGATGAGGCCCATGATGGCAGACAGAATCTATCAGTGGCAGACGACAGGAAGCCCATATGTCAGGTAGCACTGGGTGCTGGGCAGAGAGATCACAGGTGTGGCGCGGGGCTGCTGCGTGGAGGGCCGCCCGCACCCTCCTTGCGTGTGCACTCCACGCTGTGAGCAGAGAGGCCGGGTAGCTAGCTGGCTCTCAGGTAAGAACATTCCATGAAGAGAGAACCAGTGCAAAGGCCCTGAGGCAGGCACAGCCTGAGTGTTCCCGGGCAGTGGGGAGGTGTGATGGGAGGGGAGTGAGTTAATATTTCCGTGATGTTAGAATTCTTCCTCCTCCTCCTCTTCCTTTCTCTCTCTCTCTCTCTCTTTTTTTTTTTTTTTTTACAATGAGCCTCTTAATTTTGTAATCCAAATACACAATTCATAAAAATAGAAGTGCTAATGATATCTGGGAAGCCCTTGGCAAGCTGCTGGTCCACAGGAGCAGCGGCTGCTATTCTTACCATTTTTTCTTCTCATTTCCGGTAGAAATGAATCACTTACTTCCAATGTTTCCTAAAGTGGCAATGGGCCCTCGGGCCTTCTCGCTGGGGAGCGTCTCTGCCCCCCATTCTGGAAGGGGTTTCTGGAAGGTGAGTGTGGGGGGCGGGTGGGTGTGGCTGGCACGGAGGGTGCATGTTCCTCCTTCCTCCCGCCCGCCCCTCTCCTTCCCTCCTCTTCTCCTCTCCGTCTGCAAGCCCTTCTGTGGCAGGAAGCGCCCAGTCCCAGAACTCTCTGGAGCCTTTGCGAGGCAGGCGGGGGTGGGCGCAGCACGCCACATGGAGGGGATCGTGGGTGCCCAAGGAGGAGAGTCGTAGAAACAGGGCCCTGTCCCACCTGAAGGCTCCAGGCTTTGGGTTCCTTCATAGCCACACCCCTGGCCCTGGGACGCAGCCTGGTCCATTCCAGTCACCCTGCCCGCACCCCTGCAGTCACCTCCTGCCTGGGCCCCCACTTCCACTCAGGCCCCCCACGCAGCCATGCGAGACCCCATCCCTCCCCGCTCGGAGCCCCCACCTGCTCAGAGGCCCCGCGAGGGCCCCAGCAGCCTGCCCTGCCCACCCTGGCAGTGGGGCTTCCTGACACCCCGAGCCCTTTGCTACGCACCCCTGGGCACATCCCGCAGAGCCTCAGTCCCAGCAGCGAGCGGGACGTGGTCGCACCGCGGTGCCCAGTGCCTGGAACAGTGTCGGCGTGCGATATGCAGTCGGTGCTCAACCTGTGCTTAGTGGAGGAGGGAGCCTCGGAGGTTTACAATCAGACCTTGGAACCTTTGCAAGATCTCAGAGTTCAAGACTGGGGGCTCCTCCCTGCCCTCTCCCCTGCCCTCCCCGTCCCCTCTCTTCTCTCTCCTTCCTCTCTGCTGATGTCTCCCCTCCTCCTCCCTGTCCCTCCTCCTCTCTGTCCTCCTCTCTGCCTCCCTCGCTCCTCTGGCTCCTCCCCTACCTGTCCTCCCCTCTGTCACCCATCACTCCTGCCTCTGCGTCCCCAGCCGCCCTCCGCCCCACCCAGGGCCCCATCCAGCTGGGGCAAGGCCGGCCCCTGGCTGGCGCTGGCTGGGAGCCGCCTGCACCCTCCTTGCTTGTGCACGACTCGCAAAGTCAATAAGCTCTCTGCTCTCTGAGCTCAGACTTCCTCGTCTCTCCAAAGAGAATAACAATTTCTGGGATTTCCTTTATTTCTATTCTAAATATGCTTATTACTCTATTGGCTCACGTGTGTGCCGGCCCAGGCGAGGCGTGTTCCCGGCTCGGGCATGGCCGCTGTCGGCCCCCGGCTCGGCACACAGTGGGCTCTTTCTGCCCAGCCAGGCCTCCCTTTAGAAACTTGACCTCATCCAGCTGCCTCCAGACACAGGGCTATTGCAGGTGCTGTTCCCTCTGTCTGGGATGCTCTTCCCTCTGTCTTCAGCCTAGTTAAACACCTACTTCCGATTCTGGCAAACATCACCTCCTCCAGGAAGCCCTCCCTGATGCCTGCCCCCCTGAGTCAGGTCACCCTGTTAACCACCTTTTGTCACTTAGCACAGTTGTAATTATTTATTTGCTCCGGGCCCAGCGTGGCTCTCTGCCCCATCGTCTGAGCTTATGTCTCCCCAGGAGGGAAGTCGGTAGGCCCAGGCCCCGAGTCAGCAGGGCTCTGCTTCCCTCCTGGCACTTTCTCTGGGGCAGTTGAGGGCCGGCTTCCTCCGAGGGGCCCTAAACTCAGGGGTGCCAGATGGTGGGGAGGCGGGCCAGTCCTCTCCCCAGCCCTGTCCCAGTCAGCTAGCATTGGGCAGCTTCTCTCCAACTCTGTGTCAACCCCGGCTTGAGCCACCACTGACACATTCTCCTGCCCCCCGCCTCCCCTGGAGAAGCCAGAGGGAGCTTTCCAAAACCCGCGTCTGACCTCCACGCCGCCATGCTCCAGACTCTTCCATGGCTCCCTATTACTCTCTGAATAAAGCCCAGCCCCCCAGCCAGCCACAAGCCCTTAGGGGCCTGGCCTGGCCACTTTTCCCTCATGTCCCAGCCACGCCCGGCTCTCCAGCCCTGCGGTCCCGCCAACTGGATGGAGGCCGCAGCGCCGGCTCCCTCCCCTCCTCCCGAGGGCCTGCGTCTCCCCTTCACTTCTCCTTGCAGCCCCCACGTGTGGGAGCCGGCCACAGCCCCGGGTCATCTTGCTTCCTGTCTGTCTCTCCCGCTGGGGTCATCTTGCTTCCTGTCTGTCTCTCCCGGGCAGCTCCCCGAGGGCAGGTGCCTCTGCCGGTCTCGCTCCCTGCCGTGAGCCCAGGCCCGAGTGGCTCTGGGAGTCGGGCGGGCCTGGTCTGAGTTCTGGCTCAGACACCTCCTGGCTTTCTCCTCTTTGGGCCTCAGTTTTCTCATCTGGAAAATGGGGGGGGGAATGTAGGGTTGGGGTAAGGGCAGAATAAAAGCTTGTGTGTGAGTGTGCAGTGCCTGTATGTGTTTCGAGGGGGAAAAAGAACCAAAGTAAAAACCCCGGACTCGGCTCCGTGCCGCCCACACCGCGGAGTGTCACGCAGCCACCACGGGGCGCAGCTCTGCCGGGTGCGTGTTTGCTTCTTCGCTTCTAATTGTCGTTTGTTACAGTACAAGTATTCTTTCCTCTGGAATTCAGTTTTAATTGAAAAGTTCACAGGACATTGTATAGAGTATCCGACCTTTGTTTTAAGAAGGAGGAGGAATATACACGTGTATGTTGCATACGTTTTCAAATTGAGGTAGAATTCACACAACATAAAAGCAACCACTTTAATGAACCATCAGTTAAACTGACCGTTTCAGAGCGAACAATTCAGCGACACTTGGCTCACTCACAATGGTCTACAGCAGTCAGCTCCGTCTGGTTCCAGAACATTCCCATCACCCTGACGGAGAGACGCACCTGTTACACAGTCACGCCCCGCTCCTGCCTGCCCCAGCGCCCGCCAGTGCCCGCCCGTGTCTGTCTCTATGGGTTTGTCTACACTGGACGTTTCATACGAATGGAATCATACAACATGTGACCTTTCGTGTCTGGCTTCTTTCAATTGCCTGATGTTTCCGAGGTCCCTCCACGTTGCAGCGTGCATCAGAACTTCATTTTTAAATGGCCAGACACCGCTCTATTGCCTGGGCAGAACGCATCTCGCCTAACCATTCGCGATTGCCGGGCAGTGGGCCGTCTTCGCTGTTGGGAGAGGGCGACTGGGAGCTTCGGTGTCTGGCGACTGGGAGCTTCGGTGTCCGAGGCCTTGTGTGGCGTGGGGTTCTGGAACGAGAAACGCCAGATGAGGAAGAGGTGTCCGGCGGGGTCCCCAAGTGCAGAAGAAGCGCAGACACGCCGGTCCCTCGTCCAGGCAGACGCAGTCTGGAGAGGATTTTCATTCTTAGGGGAAATGTGTCAGAGCCCATTCTCGCCTTCCAACGCGGGGAAACAGGCTCTTGCAGAAAAGGGAACGCGGAAAAGAGGCCCGTGAGCCACATCAAGCGGTGCACACAGAGCGGTTGCATTTAGACGCGTGGGGCAAGTCCCAGATCCAGTAGTTGCGAGTGTAGATGTGGGGAAACCCGACAAGATAAGCCCCACAAGTATTCTCTGTAAGCAGGGCAGGGCGGGGGCCTGGAGTGTCCCCTCCACCCCAGGTGGAGAAACTGAGGCAGGGAAGAGAGAACTCCCAGGAGGGGGTGTTCTCCAAGGAGTGTCCCCGCGCCCCCCCCAATATAGGGCCCCATTGAAGCCCCTTGTCCTCAGGGTTTCAGAGTGAGACCTGCAGGCGGGAGCCAGATCCCTCCTCACCAGCGGTGCAGCTTGGGTTTCGAGCTCCTGTAGATGGAGCGCTCACTACCTGTGAAGCGTTTCGCATACCTGAGGGCCCGAGTCCTCTCCCAGCCCACGAGGAAGGAGCCATTCCCTCCTCTTACAGTTCAGGAAAGCAGAGCTCAGAGGGGAGCAGGTCTTCGCGCAAGGCAGGGGACGGAGCTGGACTTGAACTCAGGGCAAATCCTTAGCCATGACCTCTCCTGCCCCCGGCACAGGTTTCCTTCATCTCTCGCCCGCTAGACGCCCCCTGGCTCCTGGCTCCGGCTGAGGGCGTGGGGTACCCAGGCTTCCCCTCCTGGGGACAAGTCCCGGTTCAGCCTGAGCTGAGCTCTGCCACTTCCGCTGCATGAACTTGAGCGATGACTCGACTCCCCAGGCCTCAGTGTCTCCATCTGGAAAATGGGCAAAGCACAAGCCCCTCTGCACAGGGAGGCTGTGAAGGTGTGAAGAGGTGACAAGCCGGAGCCTTAGCCCGGGACCGGCGCTCGGGAGGCCACCCCGTGGGCCCTGCTGGGTTTCTGGTTTCCCCTGAGAAGCCTCCTGGGGGCCGGATCCCCAGCTGGAGGAAGGATGAGGCCCGGGGGGCCTGGGCCGGGACAATGCGAGCATTGAGTGCCTGCCAGCCCTGCTTCGGTTTGGACGGATAATCTGGGCAGGAGCAGACGAAGGCCTGGGGGCGTCATGCGGGGGGCGTCAGGTTACCCCCCACGGCCGCAGGGCAGCTGGGGGTATTTTCCTTCCCCCCAGATTACAGTGAGAGGAGGCTCAGGCCTCGCGGAGGCCCTGGCAGGCAGGTTCCTAGCAGGAGGTTTGCAGCCCTGGCAGGGCGCCCCCGGGCTAGCGACAGCAGTTGGTAACCACACCTCCACCCCCGGGGGCTTCCGGCAGGCCATGCCCCGGTGGACACCTCCTTCTCCACCCTCCCCGCACCCCTGAGACGCAGGCCCCTGTTACCCCCATGTCACAGATGGGCAAACCGAGGCTGTTCCCTTCGCTCCTTCAGCAGAGCAGGGAGGAGGCGGTGCAGGGTCTGGAATCACGTAGGCCTGCTGGCCTCAGTTTTTCCCTCTGGAAAGTGGGCGCGGCCCCGTGCAGACCTCACTGAGCCTCGAGAATCAAGCGAGTGGCAGTGAGGGTGCAGAGGACGCCTGCTCCCCTCCTGCCTTTTTACCGGGAGGGGACCGAGCCAGGTGCTGCCACGGGGAGTGAGTCCCTGCGTCAGACACACACACACACACACACACACACACACACACACACACACACACCCCGCTGCAGGGGGCCCGAGGCGTGGGCAGGGAGCTTCAGAGGAGCCGTGCGGGGCGGTTCCTGCCAGGCGACTCGGGGGACAGGGTGGGCCGGGCAGGAGGGACGGGTGGAGCAGAGTCCGGAGCCGGAGCGCTCTGCTGGGGGTGACAGTTGTACTATGGGCTTGACGCTTAGCTCCACTGGGCCTTTGCTGTGCAACCTCAGGCAGCCCCCTGGACCTCTCTGGTCTCAGTGTCTCACCTGTGGAACGGGCACGCAAGGAGGAGACTCTGCAGGGGGCTGTTGTGAAGAGGTCAGTGCCCGGCACATATCAACGACGCCGACTAGATGTTATTTTACCGTAGCCACCTCCTCCAGGAAGCCCATCCTGACCTCTCCTGGCTCCCGAGGCCTCCTGGCTCCCCGCAGCACGGGAGCTGCCACCGCTCCACGTGCCGGTCCCCCAGCCCCGCCGGACTCCCAGGCTGGGACCCTCACGATGGCTGAACCCTGGAGCCCACCGGGAGTCTGGCACAGAGCAGGTTTGGGGCCAGCTGTCGGGTGCACGGGATCCCTGAGCGCCTACTGTGTACCGAGCCCTTCACATGCAAGTCCTCTGTTTCAGGTCTTCCTCCTCCTAGAACCTCGGCCTCGCCAGACTGGCCGTGGCAGGTGCTCGAGGAACCTGCGCCGGAACTGCTGAAGGGAGCCGCGCTGGGGGCCAGGCCTTGCAGGGTGAGCTCCTGGGGCAGCAATAACAAGAGGAAAGGCAGCAAGGATAGTTGTGACTGTTCACTATGCTCCAGGCTCCGTGCCGAGCCTTTCGGTCCATCTACTCAACAGCCTAGAACCATTATTATTTCCATTTCACAGATGGAGAAACTGAGGCACAGGGGGGCACACTGCCTTCCTCCGCACACAGAGACCGAGAGCAAGCAGGAGGTGCCGGACGCGGAGCCCTGGGTCCCAGCTGTGTCCCTGGCCAATCCCCTGGCCTCTGTTTACCCGGCCCAACACCCAAGACGCTGCCTCTTCCGCCTGCCCGGAGTCCCCGCGCCTTCACAATGGGATTCTCTGTCTCTGCAGCTGGTTTTCATTCAAGCCCTTTGTGCCGAAAATAAAAAAATGAAAAGAAAACTTGGCTCCACCCCGCCCCTTGGCTTCCAGGGGAGGAAGGAGGATCCCAGCTGCTGCTCTCCCTCATGCTGGGGCCCAGAGTTACCCACGGCCTGCCCGAGGTCACACAGCGGGGTTGGAGACAGGACCCTGGCCTTGGACTCCCCGTCCAGTGCTCTGCCCCTGCCCGGCCCTGCATTTGCTGTCCTGGGCTCTGTCCTCCAGGCCCGTGGGGAGCAGAGGGTGGGGGCTGACGTGCCCTGAGCCATCCCCACATTCTCAGAATCCTCACTGCACCCCTCAAGGCCCTGCCACCCCACTTAACAAGGGGGGAAACTGAGGCTCAGAGAGGTGAAGCGCCCGAGGGCACACAGCTAGGAAGTGGCGGAGTTGGGGCTCGAGCTCCCGTCCCCACTGCCGGGTCTGGCACCCAGTTCAGGGCCGCGTGGGGCAGCCCGAGCCGGGGTGGGGGGTCCTGGAGGGAAGTGGGGACCTGGGCAGGGCTGGGGCCCTGGAGCCGAGCCAGGCGGGAACAATGGGTCCTCAGAGAGGAGGCGGCCTGGCGGGCAGGGCCAGGGGCCTCAGGGCAAGGTGGCGGGCGGGGCCCAGGAGGCCGGGTCCTCCCTCCTCCTCCTCCAGCTCCTGGGTGGGGACCTGGGGACACTCCAGGTACCTCGGCTCCCAAACCGGGACAGACCCGGGCTCCAGCAGGCGGCGGGCCCGCCTTGTGCACCAGGACACATATGGCGGCGATAATCGTGCTCCCGCTCACCGAGCCCCAGCTCCAGGCCGGCACTGGCTGGGCTCTTTCCTGGGTCCCCGCCACCCGCCTGGGGGAGGGGCCGGGACTAGTGCCTTTTACAGAGGCCAGCGAATGAGGCCCAGGGAGTCCTAAGCACTTGCCACACGGGACAAAGAACTTGGGGAGCCGGGGCCCTCAGAGAGTGAGCGCCCCGTTCCTGGGAGTGTGCAAGCGGAGGTGGAGGGCATAGTCAGCGCTCAGCGGGGGTGGGCGAGGTGGGTCTGAGGGGGTCCTCCCGGCACTTGCAAGTCAAGTCGAGTGTGGGGCCGGGAAGCTGGGAGTTGGGGAGCAGGGAAGCCTCCCCCGGGCTGTTGTGCAGATTAGATGAGCTATTGGAGACGCCCAGGGCCTGGAGATGGGCCTGGTACAGAGTAGGTGCTCAGGGAACAAGAGCAGCCTCAGAGGAGCGCCTACTGTTTGCAGAGACAGGAACTCACACTTGCGGGCCCTGCTACGCCCTAGGCCCTGCGCCTGGAGGATTTTGACTCCTTTTTGGGCCTTTTTATCCTTCCCCCTCTCTATTTTCTCTCCTGTCTCAGGGTTCATTCCCATTTTCCTCTTGTCCCAATTAAGCCACCTTCTATGACTGGAGCAGCGGAGTTCCTTTAATTACACCTTATAACAAGAAGTCCACTGTGGGGCTGTTTCAGGATGGGTTACCTGAATTCTAGGTTAGCATTTCTTCACATCTCTTATCCTCATGGATCCTAATGGCTGCTGTGGCACTAGACATCACATCCCACAAGATCACATCCTAACCGGGAAGAGAAGGGGATGGGCAGAAAAGGGAACTTTCTCTTCCAGGATCCCACCCCCCTTTTTTTTTAATCAAGCAGGACAATATTTCTTAGATGTCCTAGCAGACTCCCCCTGGGGTCCCATGTGACAATGGAGTCACATGTTTACCTTTAAGTCAGAAAGGAATTCCCGTTGCTGACTTAGGCCCATCAGGATTCAGCCTCTGCAGCTACTCGGAAGAAATGTGCGATCTGACGGTGACAGGAGCATGGCTGGGTGGCCACCAGCCGGAGTCTCGCTGACACCCACCCCCAGGTTGCATGGAGGGCCTGGCTGTGCGCCTCCTCTGGCTTGTCCTCATGGCCGTGTTTGGCCCCAGGCCCCTCCCCCTCCTGAGTCCCGCCCTCCCAGGCTGCAGGTGCTGGGGGTCTGGTTCTCCTCCTCCCTCCCACCCATGTTTGGGCCAGCGGCCCCTCACGCTGTCACCTGGCCCACACCCCGTGAGCTCAGCTACGGGGTCCCTCAAGATCTTCACCAGTCTGCCTGGTCTCCGTCAGTCTGTCCCTCAGCGTCTCAACTGCACGCTCCTCCCCCCATATCAGAGGGGTGTGCGTCTTCCCCAGCTCAGACATCGCACCGCCACCCGCTTGGCGCCCCTCTTTAACCCCCCCACACCCTGCCCACACCCCCCAACTGCCCGACACCTGGCCCGACACCTGCCCCCCACACCTGGCCCACACACCTGCCCACACTGCCCCCCAACCTGCCCCACCTGCCCCCCACACTGCGCCCCACACCTGCCCCACACCTGCCCCACACTGCCCCCACACCTGGCCCCACACTGCCCCCACACTGCCACACTGCCCCCACACCTGCCCCTCACACTCCTCCAACACCTGCCCCACACCCTGTCCCCACACCTGCCCCCACACCTGCCCCAGCAGCACGTCGCCCTGCCTGCCTATCCGACCTGTTCTAGATTCCCACACGTCTCCCGTCCAGCGCGGCCACCGCGGAGCGCCCTGCCAGCGGGCCGACCCTCCTCCCCGCCTACCTGTGGTCCCTCCCAGCCCCCGCTCAGCGGCTGGCACCCACGCCAGTCTGCCCGCCGCCGCCCTCGGGCCTGCGCGCCCGCCTCCCTCCGAGGAAACCCAGTCACCAGGGCCGGCTGCGGGAGGACCCGACCTGCGCACCGGGTCCCTCCCTCCTCGTTCCTCCTCCGACCACACCAAGCCTGGGCCACGTCTCGGCCCCTGCCCTCATACCGCCTCTGCCTGGACCCTGTTTTTCTAGATCTTTCCATGATCTGCCCCGTCCTTCCCTCAGGCCCATGCTGCTCCGGGCAGAACCAGACCAGAGTCATTCTACATCCCGGCCCCGAGGTGCTGCTCTGCTGGGCCTGTCGCCCTGTCCACGCACGCGCTGGGTTCATGTGCACTGACCGGCCCTGTCGCCCTGTCCACACGTGCTCGGTTCACGTGCACTGACCGGCCCTGTCGCCCTGTCCACACATGCGCTCGGTTCACGTGCACTGACCGGCCCTGTCGCCCTGTCCACACGTGCTCGGTTCACGTGGCACTGACGGCCCTGTCAGCCCTGCCCACACGCCGTTCAGCGCACTGACTGCCCACCCTGGTCCACACGCCGTTCACGTGGCACTGACCGGCCCTGTCGCCTGTCCACAACATGACGCTCGGTTCACGTGCACTGACCGCGCCTGTCGCCCTGTCCACACGGGTGCTCGGTTCACGTGCACTGAACCGCCCTGCTCGCCCTGTCCACACGGCTCGGTTCACGTGCCACTGACCGGCCCTGTCGCCCTGTCCACAACACGCTCGGGTTCACGTGCATCTGAGCCTGTCGCCCTTGTTCCAACGCAACACGCTCAGTTTCACGATGCAGCTTGACCAGCCTGTCGCCCTGTTCCACGCGCGCTCGTATTCACGTGCCTGACCGGCCCTGCCCCCTGTCCACCGCGCTCGGTCACGTCACTGACCGGCCTGTCCCCTGTCACACAACACGCTCGGTTCACGGTGCCCTGACCGGCCCTGTCGCCTGTCCACACTGCGCTCCGGTTCGTGCACTGACCGGCCTGTCGCCCTGTCCCACGGTAGCTCGGTTCACGTGCACTGACCGGCCCTGTCGCCACTGTCCACCACAACACGCTCGTTCACGCTGCACTGACTGGCCTGGGGTCGGCCCTGTTCCACACGCGCGTCGGTTCACGTGCACTGGGACCGGCCCTGTCGCCCTTCCACACGGGCGGGGCTCGTCACGTGCACCTGACCGGCTGTCCCGGTCCACAGCGCGCTCGGTTCAACGTGCACTTGACCGGCCCCTGTCGCCCTGTCCCAGGCGTTTCACGGACTGCCCCGTGCTGTCACGCGTCGTCACTCGACCGGCCCTGTCGCCCTGTCCACACGCGCTCGGTTACGTGCACTGACGGCCCTGCGCCGTGTCCCCCACCGCGCATCGGTTCACGTGCACTGACCGGCCCTGTCGCCCTGTCCACACGCGCTCGGTTCACGTGCACTGACCGGCCCTGTCGCCCTGTCCACACGCGCTCGGTTCACGTGCACTGACCGGCCCTGTCGCCCTGTCCACACGTGCTCAGTTCACGTGCACTGACCGGCCCTGTCACCCTGTCCACACACACGCTCGGTTCATGTGCACTGACCGGCCCTGTCGCCCTGTCCACGCACGCGCTGGGTTCACGTGCACTGACCGGCCCTGTCGCCCTGTCCACGCACACGCTCGGTTCACGTGCACTGACCGGCCCTGTTGCCCTGTCCACGCATGTGCTCAGTTCACGTGTACCGACTGGCTGGGTCTCCCGCGGTCTCACACGGCCTGGCCCCTGCGGCGGGGACGCCTCGCACTCGGCACAGGCCTGGCGCACAGCGGCTGCACACGCACAGTGGCTGGCCACAGTCTCCGTGGCTCCTTCGTGGATGCAGCCTGCGGGACGTCGTCTGGGTCCCTCGAGGTGACCCGGCTGAGGTCACCGCCGCCCCCTCCCGGGTGCTGCCGGGCCGCATGGGAGTTCGGGCGGGGAGAGGCGCGCTGGGCCTTGCCCTGCTCAGAGCTGCGGCAGGCGCCGGCCGCTTCGCCACCGGAACCTGCACGGAACCTGCAGGAGTCCGGAAGGGCCCCGGGGAGGAATGGAACTTAGGAATTGTCATGTCATGCTCGCTGTTGCTTTTGGGGACATCTTGTCCTGCGGTTTTGTTTTTTTTCCTCTTTTCTGCGAGCTGCGGAACCCATTGTTCAAACAGAAAATCCCGGCGTGGCTGGTGGCCGCACCGCCGGGGCGAGCGCGCGGGCCATCCGTAATGCGGGATCGGCCGCGCAACTTCCCCTCGGGGACTCCACAGGCAGGGCCGCCCCGCCCGGCGGGTGTGCAGTCCCCCGGAAATGCTCGGCCCGATCCTCGCACTGAGGCTGGTCCCACAGGGCCACGCTGTGGCCTGTGTCCAGAGGCCACTCGGCAGGGACAGGGTGGCGTTTAAGCTCTGGGGTCACCCCCGAGGACTCGGCTCTGGGGCAGCCGCTAATCCCGCCCTCCCGCAGGGCCGCCAGGCGGTATTTTTACTTTCTGCTGAGTGTGTTCGGCTGGCCGCTTGTCAGTTAAAGTGCCCACGCCGTGGCTGCCCTGAGTGTGGGGGATGACGGGGCTGTCCTGGCAGATGTGGGGAGCGGGGGCCCCAGGCTCGGCCTCTGCCAGGTGGCCCC